GGAGGAACAAGAGCAATTAAGGCAAACCCAAGGCAATTAAAGCTAGAGAAGGGGAATCTCGAGCTATTTCTTACCAAAAAACCGAGCAATTCACCCTCACAAAGCAGGAGCAGCCGGCGGTGAAAAGGAAGAGCAGAGCAGATCCGGATTTTCCAGCAGTGGGAGAAGGTTTCTGGGTTCCATTTTCAGTTCTAGAACAAGAAAGGAAGGGGAAAATACCAAGCTTCCTCACCGGTTTTCCAAGGCATGGCTGGGTTCCCCCTTTTTTTTTCTCGGGTGGCTGCAGCGGGAAGAGATGAGCAGAATCGGGCAAGGCTGGGAAGAAAAGAAAGAAAGAAAAAGAAAAAGAAAAGAAGTCATCCTTATCCAAAATCTTTCCCTCTTTAAGTTCCTCAACTTTTAGAATGTTCACATTAGGCCCTAAAACAATCTTTTCTCACAATCAAGTCCTTAACTTACACTTAAATATTCTCGAAAATTTGGGATATTACACTCACCCCTCCTAAAAAGGAGTTTTGTCCCCAAAACTCAAATTGAGGACCATATCAAGTGGTGAATGGCTTCACACAATCTGAGACAAAACAATTGCCTCATCACTTTCTAGGAACAGAACACGGCCTATTACGCTTTCGCTGCGCCACTCTGATATCAATCCATAGCTAACCATAAAAGCAGGACACTAGCTACTTAACAGGTTTTACCATGAAATAAGCTACTAGAGGCTGGGGTGACATGGGAAGCACAAGGAATAAAAATAAATCCTGCCAAGGCCACAAAAGAACAATTGTGGGGTTACGCTACGAACCCATCACAAGACGAGTTGGCAAGGAATGGCATGGATTTAAAGACAATTACAACAAAATTTTGAACTCTATCAAAGACAGATAAGCATCCAATGAATATATGGATCATGAATGAATGACAAGTGCATGGATGCCTTATACATTTGCCACAAAACAAGGGTAACCAATAAATAAGATCATGTTTGACAAAGCAACTGGAATCAAGAGACAAGTTTTAGCAATTAACAAGAGTTAAAAGCTAGGACCATCAAAAGACATGTAAGAATCTCAAGAACTGCAACAGAATAAAATCAATAGAAAATATGAATGCTTGGAAGAATATCGGAACACAAGAGTGCAAGGTAGAATGCCTCAAAGAATTCAACAACAAAACGGCATTCACCAAGAATCAAGATCAAATTTAACCAAGCAGTCAAAATTGAGAGACAAGAGTTAACCATGAAACAAGCAATAGAATTCAAGAACTAGGCTCACAAAAGAGATTTCAATAATGACAATCAGAACACGGATTCAAGAGCAGATATAACCAGGATATCAAGATCTAGCACCTCAAGTACTAGAATTAATTAACAGAACAAAGCAATGGCTGGGATCAAGATGCTTAGAAGATTCATGTCTTCTAATTAAAAGGGCAAACAAAAATCCAAGCAGCCAGATCAAAGAACCATTTCACTTGGAACAAAACTCTAGGGCATCAAGTATTTCAAGGACTACCCCTTTACCTCGTAGCTCATGGAGACTAAGCAGGTTTACAATCAAGTCATCCTAGAGTCAAGTCAAAGCTGAGACATCAAAGATACAGAGATTAACACTTGCAAGAGACAAGAACAAGGATGTGTCATATAGGTATCTTCTAATAATCATCACCCCTCCTAAAGAGGTGTCCATATCAACAAAAACCAAGAATCAAGAAGATCAAGAAGTATACCGAAACAAGAACAAGCAGAATATGCAAGATTTGAGCAAGAGCAGTATACAGAATTTGAACAAGAACCAATTTCAAAACAAGAATGGTTTTCAAGGACAACTCAAACTAGATTCCAAAAACAATGCAAGAATTAATTTCAAACAAGTATCCAGATAATGAGGATTTCAATAATCATTATCCATTTCTGGATTTCAGTTTCAAGAACAAGTACAAAGCAATATCAAAAAAAGATTCAAGATGGATTTCAAGAGTTTCAAGCAATTTCCAGATATCAAGAATGTAGAGATTGGCAACAAAGGAGTTTAACTTTATGACAGTTTGCCAATCTTCACAAAACATGGCAATTTCAATTGAATGATCACTGCTCTTGATTAACCAATACAAACAAATGAGCCACATGAAAAGACCATGAAGCTCCAAATGGAAAAAGTGAAACTTCACTACAAGACTTTCAGAAAGATAAGGAGCAACGGAATTACCAAGTTATCCAGCTCCTAAAATGCATCAAAAAACACACAACATTTGCTAAAATAGCCTTGAATCTCTTGCAAAGTAGAGGGTTTACCCATCCTCCACTGGTCATGTGACAAACAAAACAAATTCTCCACCAGCTATGCTGTAGAGACTAACAGGATCAATAACAAAAGTCTCTGCAACTCCCTAGATTTCACAATTGTGGCAAAAGAGCACACAAAAATTCTATTCACGTAACAAGCCTAAACAAGTGCGGACTATCAGAAAATGACCAAGTTTCAAAACAAGGTCTTCAAGACATAATGGGCAAGATTACTTTCACAACTTCACACAGAGTATGAAGGCAAGAAACAAGAACAATCAGATCACCATCTCATCGAAATGGATGAGAAGATTCAGGCAACATGAATCAGAATTGTCCCTTATCCCATCACTCGTCTCACCACGGGTCTAAAATCCACTGGCTAGCCAAGTCCAAAACAAATCCTAGGCATTCAATTAAACCTAGGCTCGGATATCACTCAATCTGCTCTGATGCCACTCAATTTGGAGGTACTTAATTTAATCCAAAACTCTTAATTTCAACCTAAGCTCTGATACCATTAAATCTGTCACGCCCCAGAACCCAAATCCAGGGACGCGACAGACGCCGTGCACTCGTGAGACGGGTCCCACAAATGCACAAGGCTCGGAACTTATCACACCACAATCTGATACCATCAAAATCTGAAGATCAAATCTTTAAAATTTACTCTGATATCATAAAATCTCCAAATACAAGATCATGATTTGTTTCTAAAATTCATATCCAAT